AAGGCCGCCAGCAGCAAGGCCGCCAGCAGCAAGGCCGCCAGCAGTGTAAGCTGCGGCGGCTTTGTTTGGGTCGGTCTCGGAGGCGGCAGCTGCAGCAGCAGCGGCGTAGGCGAGCTTGAGCTCGCCGGGGTCGGTAGTGGGTAGAAGGGCCACCTGTTTTGTCGGAGGGAGGCGTGACGAATTTGAGGGCCTCATCGCGCTCCTTGACAATGGTCTCGAGAGATGAAACGGTGAGTTCGGCGCGGCGGTGGTTGCCCTTGGCATTGATGCAAAATGCAGTCAAATGGTCGGCACCGCATAGGTGGCATTCGGTCTTTGGTTTGAAGCACTTGATTTTGTTGTGCCCCTTCTTGCCACATCGAGTGCAAGGGCCTTTGTCGTGCCCACCATCACCCTTGACATCTTTGTCACCGCCGTTGGTTGCGGATGGGACAAAGCTGTCGTAGGCGAGCGGTGCTTGACATATAGTCTGAGTAGTTAGTGAGCGAGGAAGGTTGTGTGTTTTGACCGGATGGTTGAATATGACATAGGCATACTGTTGTCGAACATGGCAATGAGGGTTACTGCTGCATCGAGTCCGACGAAGTCCACAGCTGCTGCTGGTGGTCGCGTGAGTCGGCCGTCGTGATCGCCGAGCGCATGCCGTCGTCCCGTCGACGCCAGTGACGACGTGAAGATGGTGGTCCGCGCCAACCGAGTCCACACGGCAATATGAACAAGATCCCCCACTACAATGCGCACTCGACGACCCACAGTACATGGCTGACCACCAGATGCACTTCGCGCGGACTACGACTCCTCGCAGCAGACGTGCATCATTGACGGCTCTGGGGTGTACATCACGCGCAACTCTTCGACATACAGCCATGGCCAGTTCCTCGATCCTCGCCGACAATGTTGTATGTTGCTTTCGACAACGGGATTAACGGGCTGGTGGTCCACAAGACGGATCGCGTCCTCGCGTGAAGAACAACGTGCTGTTTGAGAATGGCAAGGTGAGCAAGAAGAAACCGCATCCAGACAGCCCCTACGCCGGGCTCGTGGTCACGCACTCGCAGAGCGTGACGCTCAGCAACAACCGAGTCCGCGCGCCATCGGGCGATTTCGCCTACACGCTGACGGGCGGATCGACGCTGGCTCCCCCCGTACCACGTGGTTTG